GCGGAAGAGCTCTTAATACAGCTTCAAACCAGAAACAAATGAAGCAGGTAATAGAACAGAGCAGTTTCTCTCAGTACAGCAAAGCAGCACAATCAGAAGTAGTTAAAGTTTATCCTGTAAGTACTGTCATTAACTGATTTTAGATTAGTCAGCTATTCAGCTATCAGATGGCTTAAGTGTCCATTCAGATACATTTAATCAGAGAAATCAAGGGAGGAAGATCAATGTCAGGGGAGGGCGGTTACATTCAAAGTTGCTTGAGGCATCCACTACTGATGAGAAGCATTCTTCAAGTCTTCATTAAAAAGGGCAGTTGTATCTATGTAAATATTCATTGTCAGCTATCAGTATAACAATTAGCAAACTAAAATAGTCTGGGATTAATTTTCTAAAGACTAGCAGTGAAAAGGAATAAAAATTTACAGAATTCTCAAGATTCAGGCATAAAAAGAGCACTAAGAAATTACAAATATTAAACCAATATATTGAAATGGTTAAAGAGATCTGGAAAAAGCAGCTAGAAGGATGGCATATTGACTAAAGTTCACTGCAGATAAAAAGTTGGAGATTTGCCATTACTTGAAAGGATGATGCACTGGATGACAAGATTCAGGTGGCAGGGCTCATTTTGTTCCTGAAAGGTTTAAAATGAGTTCTTGTATTGTTTTATTGCTTCTGTATTTGGTGAAGTATTTCTTTTTTCTTTTTTAAAAAACAAGATTTCTATATACCATTAGAATCCAGAAAAGATAAGGAAATTCTGTCCTCTTGAACTGGCCTTAGATATACACTATTCATATGACAATTGCTGTCTCCTTGGTTTTATCCTTAATAAATATTTTAAAAGAAAGATGCTCAAAATAAATGCTGTGCTAACACCACCTACAAATAACCTGTCTGTTCAACATACTTTATAAGGAAAAATGGCCACATCACTTCCTTCACTATTTGTTTTCTTTGTATAAAATAATATTTGGTTTTTGCAGTATTACTTATAACACTGCTGAAAACTCCTGGTAGCACTTAACTGGAGTAATTTACAGGTCACCAGTCTATTAGGATATCTGAAAGTCCAAAAATAATACAAAGACAAAACTACACAGAAAGCAAATACTTAATTCAACACACAGCTCATGTGATAAAATATTATAATTTACACCAGATTATCAGGTTTTATTTTTGTTTCCAGTTGCAATTTTTAATCAGCTAGTAGGTCATGTTGATGACTCATGGTTCTTTATTTATTTCTTTCTCATTTAAAATAAAGAAAACTCAGAGATGAATTGTCAACAATTAAAAAATGCTCAAAATATAAAGGCATTTTTAAATAAACTGAAATGAAGAATTCACTTTTTCAAGTGCATTACCTTCCAAAATTCAGATAAAATAAAAAATTAATCAAATTAATTTTATTGGGGAATGGGAAAAACATAAAGAAATTGAATTTCAGAGGTGACAATGCTAAGAAGAGACAGTCTTCTGCTGTTTTTAACAGCAGAACTAATTACCAAAAAGCTAAAATTATTCATTATTTATTCTAGCTCCTAGGCCATTATATCATGTTTAAATATTGTAAATAGAATAATTTCTGTGTAAAAATAAGGTTAAAACAAATTATAACTTTTTAACATCTTTGCATTTGCTCTTTCATTATGCATCCATCCATTAAATTTCAACTTCACCTACAGACTGAAACCCTTACTTATGTGCCTATTAAAATATTATCTAATCTGGATTCCAGGTGTTGTGGGCAGCAAACACAGTATCATACCTGTGAACAGCTGAAGGTTATTGATGCCTTGTGATTGCCTCTTCCAAGGGCAGATGGGCAGAATTGCACAGGTACTTCAGTGGTGGAATGAGGAGCAACAATCACCTGTACAAACACAAGAAAGAAGCAAAGGAAAGAGTGGGCAAATAAATAGATTTTGTGTGTGTGTGTGCTTTGTATCCACAGTGTTGATGTTTATGTGATTAATGTGTTCCACCAGGTGCATTCTCTCCTCACAGCAAGCACAGGCTACTAAGGCAGCAAGCGTACTGCAGTAAACGATGCTAGTGACAGTCACTGCACGTTCGTTCCCCAGAAACTACAGAGCTGCTGTTACAGATTGCTCCAAGGACATGGACAGTGGCTTGCACAAATTCCATTCAAACATGACTTTGGTGTCTGATCATATCGATGACACTAAAAGGTTACCACATTGACCTCCAAAGACATAAATTGGCTTATAAGGGAAATACATGACAGGTTTTAATAAAACAGTGTTTTGTCTCTCTTCTGCTTACCCTTATCTAAACTAACATTATAAATGATGTTGCTAGGTTTCTCCTCATGTGAAGTATACTGCTTGAATCTCAATTGCACAGGGAAAAGTAAAGTATCTGACTACAATGGGGTCATAAAAGTTTTTAAGAACCAGATAAACAATGAAAGAACAGAAATACAAATAATAAAAATGCCAATGCATCGGGAGAATGATTTGCTACAATCATTGAATACACAATTACATGCCTGTTTTAATTAAAGAAAAAAGTACTAGGCTTTTAATATCACACATGTTTAAATAATGTTTGCATGTAAGAAGATTGGCATTATGGATACTCGAGCTGTATTTTATAAAATTAATATAATTTGCAACTAATAAAGGTCAAAACAACACCCTTCAACAGCTGGCACTGACAAGCCCTTTTATAAAGGAAATGTCAGCCCTGGAAGAACAGGCGGCTAACAGACAGTGAACAGAAGTTATTCAAACATTCATTGTATACTACATTTAATACTTGCAAGATGCTTGACTGCACCAAGAAGCCCTGTGACAAAGGTTTAATTGCCTTTGCTCTGACACAGTACTTGGCTCGGAGCTAAGGAAGGCTTGAGCTTATGACACACCAAGGCAGGGACCTCCACATGTAGTCCTGTCCCATCACACCCAGAAACAACAAGCAGAGCCATGATGATGATAGGTATGGGGTCCCTCTGTGCTGAGGACCACAGTGCTGAGAACAAACTGGAGGCCTCAGAGAGTGGGGCAGAGACAGAGGCATCAACTCTCATCTCAGGGCAGAGGTCTCTGATGAGGCTTATGTTGCTTTTCTTCTCTGCACCATAGTGTTCCCTGCCATCTCAGAGCTGGACCAGGGCAAAGGCCACAGGTGTCCTGGTCTTTACAGTAATCTTCTGGGTGTGTCTACAGGATACCAGCATGGTTACAGACTGAGATGCTAGTGTACCTTGAACAACAGATATTCCTACTGACAGCACTGGGAGTTACACTGAGCAGAAGAGAGGACAGAGCTCAGATGTGGTCAGCTAATGCAGAAAACTTGAAATATTATTTTTGCTTTTTGTGGGGGAAAGTTTTAAAACAATTTATCAAAATATTGCCATAACAGTTTATTGGTTTGAAGACATTAGCTGCCTTGTCTATTACGGGAGGATGGAACTGTATTTTTTCAAACCTTAAACATTTTATTTTACAGTTTCCACTGCATGATAAAAACATTTCTGGAAGGGCAAGTAGGTGGGTCTCACACACAGAGCATGTAGCTCGCTGCTTAGGACCCACTCCCACTTGGCTGTTAGAGCACCTCCCATACGGGGAGCACAGCACTGCTGCATCACCCACACTTCACAGCCTCATATGTTCCATAGCTGAGTGATACCCTGAAGGCATATTTATCACCAGCAGTCATCTGCCACCGTCCCACACTTACCATCTTTGTAAGGCTTCTGTATTAACCAGAATAACAGACCTGAGGGTGAGTCATCTCCCACAAACCACCTCCATCCCCATCTGCCCCACTGCCCAGAGTTCATTTAGCTGTTCATCATCTAAAATTAGCCTGAACAGCTCATTTCTCAGTGAGTTCCTGGGCATGCTCAGTATCCAGAGACCTTTTTTTGAGATTTTGTACTTTCATTTGCAGCCTAGTTTCTACTTACTCTGTCCAAATGGGTCAGCCCATTTATCAAATGAAGACTTACAAATGGAGAAAGAACCTTAATGATTGCCCCCTCCCAAATACTTTTGAAGGAAATGAAAAAGCAGTTGTCACAGCATAAGAATACATGATTAGAGTAAAACTACAGTTTTTAAATTTTTAGTAATTTCATTAGGAGATCTACATGCTTTGGAATAATAACCCTCCCATAAAGATGAAAACTGACTGCAAATCCATTTTCAATAAGCATTACTTGGCATATTATCATTACACAGAAAACGCACTGCCATAATGGACCTAAATAGTCAATATTGAGTTATGATAAACAAGTAGACTGCCTGGACTGAAAGCAGAAAGGAGTTCTATTCTTTACATTATAGATCTGTTTTAAACATTTTATATTACACAGTATGATCTTCTATATCCAGAAAATCATTTATTTTTAAATAAAAAGCTGGGTAAAAATATAACTTATTTTCTACTGAAAATCAAAGAATAAATTGCTTTTAAAAAGAGAATTGAGAAATAACATTAACAACATGTTTAAAGAAGGTCATACTTTGCCACAATCATTCAATAACATAAACTGGATATAACCCATCCCCTGCCTTTCTTTTTACTTTATATAAACAAGTGTCTTCTAAGATATTCATGTGTAACAAAACTGGTGTCATTGCTTTTCATAAAATATCAGATATAACTGTTCAAATACAGAAACTCAGTCTGGAGAAGACTGAGAAAATACACATGCCTTATTCCTGTTACAAATACAACAAAAGAGGGAAGTTTTTCATGAAATTTAGAAGTTTATTCTCTACTCTATACTAAAAATAATTACTCATGGTCACTATAAAAATAATAAAGCTTTTACACGGAGACTTCGAGATTGCACTCCTCTCTGCCAGCCCTTCTTAATTTATTTTTCCTCAATAAAAATTGTGGTTTATAGCTAATCAGGATGGAATACAGCTTTATGAAAAATATTTAGGCTAGTTTATAGCTAGCTTGTAGCCAAGAGAATAACAAGCTGAAGACTTACAGTGAAAGCATGTTTTTCTGGCAATATAGATGATCCCATTTGTAAGTTTTTTGTACATTTAAGTTATATCATAAACATATGTGCATATAAATATAATACACATACATGTGAAATCTGTCCATGTATTTATATAGCAGAAAAGAAATAAGTTGGGGAACATAGCATTACTGGTGATTGAAGATTTTCATCTGTTAAATGCTGAACATGAATCCCTCTCTTCTAGAGATAAAGCAAGCTGTGGTTCAGAAAAAACACAAAACTCAGCATTCTGATGACTGTTCTCCCAGAAACTCATACTGCTCACTATACTAATGAAAGACAAGGGAGGAATTTTGAAGTAAATTTATGGGAGTTCATTTCTATTCCAACTTCTAGAGAATTTGGCAGAATTTACAAGGATGTTAAGTTAACCCATACAGTGTAAGGCTGACAAGAAGAGAAAAAAAAAATTAGACATAGCTTGCTAATAAATAAGTAAATAAAGAAATATTATGGAAATCCAACTCACATTAAAGGAAATCCATGAAAACTTCAAATTCTTGAAAGAAAACCAGGATTGTATATTACATTTAAAGCTGGTTTAGGCTACAGTTGCAAAGCCACTAATAAGGAATGAATACTTTTCTCATTTTCATCACTTTACAAAGAAGCTAATGGAGCTGCTTCTAATATAGATAAAACTGAGATTTAAAGAGATATAAAGCCTTTGAATTTCATTTAGACTTCATTAAGCACCCAGAAGTTCAGGAATATTAGAGCATAATTCAACTGGGCCTCAGGAAAGCCTATTATTAATGATGTCAGTACTTGAAGTTGAATCTGATCTATAGAAAATAATCCCTTCTGGTATTTTTTAATGCCTTCTGTTGCAAACTCAAACTGCAACAAACTTCCACACACATGGAACTATGACAAACACAATATTCAAATTTGTTTATATTCTGAAATATTAGTCAAAATTTTAGTTAAAATTTAGGCAACTAATCTCTAGGAAAAATAACATTTTCTCTTACATCTGGAGAATCTGGTTTATCTAACATAACTCAGTGACTGATGAAATCATTTGAGATAATTTCATCCCAGTATCTTCAACAGTTCTGCATCTTAGATGACATAAAACCAAATATGGACAGTTATATGAAACAGTAAAATTAGAATTAGATTTAGAATATGCGGAATCCTAAAATTACTCTACTCATCCTCTTCAAACATTACTTATCTTAATTGAACAATCCCATCGTCAATCTATCGTTCTAATAATTTGCTCTTTATTGTTGTATTTCATCTGAGAATCATTAAAATCAGAAATTTTCTGCTGATAAGAAAGCATTATTTGTTTTAAAGAGAGCAGAAACTTGAATAATTAAGATGGGAAAATGCTTCCACACATCACAGACATTGAAACAGGCATTAATATGTACTAATACCTGAAACACATTACAGTTTATAAAAACAAGTAGTAACCTCTGGAAGTTGAATGCAGTGCTGTATGGAAGGACTAAACTTAGGATGCAACATATTCAGATGAAACAGCAAGTATTTGGTTTTGTTGTACTGCTATATTTGAGACTGGAAGTTGTTTAGTTTGTGAAAGCCAAAAATACACCTATTATGTCTTTACAGCATTCCTCTATTTTCCCAATACAGTCTATTTTCTACCTTTTCAACTTTATTTTAGGACCTTACTACAATATACATCTTCTCTCCCTCTGACCCTTATACTAGTTTGCTCAAAAAGAATCATAGAACCATAGAGTAGTCTGGTTTGGAAGGGACCAACCAGCTCTGGTGTATGTCTTTCCTGTATTATCTCCCTAATGTTTAGAAAAAGTGCAATTGCCGTTTCTTTCCTGTCTGCATCAGGTTTCTTCATTTTCTTTTTTCACATTAGTGGTTCTATATTCACATCCTAGTAAGAGGTCCCCCTGATCTCTTGCACCATAGTTTCCATGCATCTGTCATCTTTTTTTTCATCTCCCCAACATAAAAAGGAAACATTTAAGAGCATTAATTGTTAATAATATCCAAAGAGTTCTTCATAGGACCTGTACTATTAACTAGCATTCAACTGTCAATAAAACATATTTTTCAGAATCTTGACCAATCTCAATGAAAATATGAAAGCTGAGTCCATCTATATAACTCTCAGTCCTTGAAAGGACAAAAATGTTAGGCAGCAAGGTGGAGGCATCACAGCATCTCTGTGATGGAGAAGAAAAGCGTTGTCTACTAAATAATAACAGGATAAGGATTTTCTCAGTAAAATTCAGTCCTAGGGTAAATGTGAGTTTAGAGAATAAAATTATTCCAAGTATTTGCTTGAAGCTTGTGGCTAAATTGATAAAATTCTTATTCATACGTTCTGCAAGTTGGTTGTAACTGCCATGACTATGAGATATTCTTAAATTCTTATTAAAATTTTTTCTACTTACCCTTAATATTTACCTGGTTATCCTGTTGATTCTTAAAGCTTGTGAAACTTCTAGTAGAGCTGGTGTTTCTTTGCAACTTCTCCTTCTAATATCTCCTGAATATTATTTGCAACCAACACTGCAGTCCTTCTTAAAACCATTCCACAAAGCATTCCAGGAAAAAATATCTATACTTCAGCTTGCACTGTTTTTTCAAGTTTAACTGTTTACCCTTAAGCTAGAAAATCTCTAGAATACACACATATAATGCCTCCAATCCTTGAGACTATGTTGTGTGTTCTGAACCCACAGTATTCAATATGTTTTGGAAAGAAGGCTTTCTTCTATCACTTAGATGAAAGCACAGAAATCTTACTTACAGGGTGTTTTGGATCAGTCTCAATTGAAAAATTGCTAGGATTGCTGTTAACAAATTCTAGCTCCAGAGTTTCTTGGGTAGGATTAAAGAGAGGTATGTATAGACGAGAACATCTGGAAAAAATATATATATGCAATGATTATTAATTACAACGCTTCTTCCATTGCATTTTATTATTCATCACGCTTCCTTTCTTGAAGAACGAGTACTTTTAGAAATAAGAATTATGCTTTATTATATAAATAATAACTTATGCATTAGTATTTTTCCACAAGTATAGAAGCATATTTAATAGTATTAATTGATATTATTAATTATAATAAATAACAATAATAAATGGTAGCAATAACCATTTAATACTTGGGTCAGTTGTAAGGGCAGAATTTTTCTTGGTGTGTTTTTCTTGGTGTACTTCAGTTGCCAGGAAGTTAAAGTCAGTTGGTTAAAAGGACTGTCTAGCTCCCTCAATACTCAAGAAGGAGAGAACTGGTGCTAGTGTAGATCACCAAGATGTGGAAACACTTTTCACAGTCTACAGGAGGAGCCTAGGCTTAATACCTTAAACTTGATGCCTAACTTTTAGACAGGAGGGTGTAAAAATGAATCCTAGTATAACCAACACCACAGCTTCACATTTATTCCTAGTCTCCAATTTGCAGATTCATGTTTTGCCTTTCCTTACTTTCTGCAGATCAGGAAAAGCACTGGACAGAAATTAAAGGTAATCAGATAAATGATATCTGTAACTCCTTTTTGTCTAAGCAATGGTTTACAGTAAATTTTTGTAATTAAGTGATGCTGCCAATAGCTTCTGATTTAGTGCTGCTAGGCAACCGCTTTTCTTGATCACCTTGTAAACTTGAGAACTCAAATCAAACTTAGTGTTTCACACCAGCCATTTCAATGGAGGTTCTGCCTGCTTCCCGCCTCTTTCTTCCCCTGGATGGACTCAAAGTCTGATTCATTTTGTGCAATTGTTACATTATTCATTACAGCATAATGGTAAATTATTATGTTGAACATGGAGATTATGTATTTTACAATGACTGTCCCAGAACAAAGATTGGAGTATGCTGATTGCCTAAATGTTATGCTTTAAATCAGCTGGCACTGTTTTACAGACTGCCCTTCTTTATTTTATAATTAAAGAATAAACAAACACAAGATACCTTTAATAAGTGTTTTCAAGAGAATTCATAGGACTCCCCAAAATTCCTCTATTCTGATCAAAATAATATATTATTTGTCTTTAAAAAAGATTTATGACCATAAATCACATTCTCATTATAACACCAAGGGATACAGAAAAGATATTGAAGGTGAATCAGTGAAAACAGCAAATAAGAAAAGTTCAAAAAATGAGATACATATATTGGTTTTGCTGTAACTTATCTATCTAATGGATATTCCCTCTAGTCAAAGCTGTGGCAGGTCAACTGCCAGATTTCGCCATATACTTATCCTCTGGAAAACATTACTCAATCATAGCTAAATCAGTAAGGAAAAATAAAATATAAAAAGCAACATTCAGATGAGAAGGTATTCCACTCAGGCTTTATGACTGTAACTTCAGGCCCTAAAACTTGTGTGAAGGGGGCTCCTTCCAGCATATAAGTTAGTCACCAGCAGCTGAGTGACAGACTTGTTTCTGACTAACACTATCAAAGCATTGTATCAGTGAGGTGTCTACAGTAGAGAGTACAGAAATACCAGTTCAATACTACTTCAGAAAGAGAAAAATAAAAAGAAAATAAAGCAAACCTACAGAACCCTGTATTATGGATCTTTATGATTATGTTCTGCAATATTTTCATAGTGGTTTCTATATAAAGACTTCAGAGGAAATCTACGTATACACTCGATTCCATTTATCCGGTTCTATCTACACATACATCCATCAAAATCATCTGCAAACTACTATAGTACACATACAACACTATTCTGGCTTTTTGATGTAAACTCTTCATACGTTTTCCATGATCCTTTAAAACACTGACTAAGTCCAGCAATATAAACTACATACTTACTTTCCAAGCTCACATTCTATTTCAGGTATATTAGTTGGCAATGGTTTGTCTACAATCAACTTCAGTGCATACCAGAACTCTTCAATCATATCTGACAGGAATATGACACTAAAAACAGATACATAAGCTTACTATGACACAGCCTTTGTGCAGACAATTAAAAATGTACACATTAAAATTCAGTTCAACACGACGAGTTCTTTAATTAGCAGCCAGTTTTCTCGTAACACTTCTTGCTGCTATCTGAATTCAGTTACCAAAACTAGTAACATATACAATTATTGATGCAGCAAAATCTCTTCTTCATCTTTCTTAACTTTTTATCATTAAAAGTTGTGTGTTGTTTGTTTGCTGGTTTGTTTTGCTTTTGTTTTTTTTTTTTTGTTTTGGGGGGAGTAAAAACTACAACTCAAAAGCATTTTAACTGCTAACTTACAACAGTAAGCTTTAATTTCATTTCAGTGTCATAGGATGTTCTTTCTGTTACTTTTGAGCTCATAAGGCACAGAAACAGAAATAGAATTCACTGATTTTAGTAAGGAAAATCTTTTCAAATCTACTGATGAAAACTGAGGAATAGATATAGACACATTTATATGAGCATGGCAAAGAGGTATGCTTTAAAAGAATATTCAATATACTGTTTTCATATACAATCAAATGTTGTCATGACTGAAAATTGTTTGCTGCTAGGTGAGATATGTCCAGCAGTATATTTCTGTGACAGACATTCTAACACAGTTCTTTTCTATTGCAGATTTTCACTGTGGAAACCCATGACACACTAAGGACCAGTTCTTGTTCTCAATGGTAGATAACTATGTCTGTTCCATGACTTTATAGGTCCAGACTAACAGAGCTTTTAAAGTGAGCATGAAACAGCTTAGGAAAGAATCATCCATTTGAAAAGATACACCTGCCACAAACACTTTTATAACACTTTTTCCCAGCTGCTACCATAGTAAAGGAAACAGAGCATGGCTTCAAAAAAAAAAAAAGATAATAGTGTGGATGTAATGTGGAAGTACCTCTGCCCAGCTATAATTGTAGTCCTGGGGAGCTATTGCAATTTAAAGCAGCTATTAGACAGGTTTCTAGTACAGTATTGCATAATTGTATTCACATGTACAGGTGTGCTTTATGTCATCTTTGCATATATTCCTCTATGTCTCAGCCTACCAATCAGCCCAAAAGTTTGCCAGTAATTTTATTATCTGGAAATTCTGCACTTGAAAGATACCAGAAATATTATCTGATATGAAAAAAATTAGGTTTATTCTCATTCACAGAATGCATAATTTCCACAAATTCCCACAGAAAAAAAAAATACTTATTGGAGTGGTAACAGTATAATTTTTAGAAAGTGGTATTGCTTGAAAGCTCTATTGTACAATGATACCTGGAATTATTCTGGTCTTTGGAAAAATCCATACAAGCAAATTGAACAAAACGTTGAAATACATGGATTTTGGCTTTGTAAATATTGGGTCTTTCAACACAAGTCATCTGTTTCTGCCCTTCTTACAAAACACCATGCTACCCTCTTCCCCATCCCCGTATTTTTGCGAGTCAATTGATATCACTGAAAAAGATCAATTAATGCTTTGCTAACCAAATTTCAGGAAAATAAGCTTTGCACTTTTGCACTCTTCAGTTACTTGCTGAACTGGTTTAGCTGAAACTAAGACCAAGGCAGCATTTGTCTTTATATTGTTAATTATCATACTTGCATAGTTTTGTTGGGATTCCCAACATAATCAAAAAATCATTATTAAAAACCTCTCCATATTCATTTACTATATTATTGTTAATAGAAGATTGTGAAGCTAAATGGATTTATGTGAAGATTGTTAAAGGGTTCTTCACCTGGTTTTAGTTATGTTGTTATACTTTTGTTTACTCTCAGAAGAAAAAATGAAATCATGTTATTTCCTCTACAGAACTTTGAAATTTAGAAAACAAACAAATAATCTGAATTTTTCAGAGGGACCTTCTAATCATAAATAAATTTCTAAAACACTGTTCATAGGATCAGTGCAAACTAGAAGAACTAGGGGTTATTCTACAGCCTATCAGTTGGTTTTTTCCCCTCAGAGAAAAGATCCTGTATGGGATACAATCTATTTAAAGTTGGAATTTTTTTTTAATTCCATTTATAACTTTTTGTGTTTTGTTTTATGGGAGTTATTTTAGGACAATATGTACATCCAGAGGCTAAGGTTTCAATGAAAGTAATTCACTTATTAGTACAAGAGCCACAAGCACAAGTGTGAAAACTCTGCAACTTACTTTTCATCTGAAGTGCCAACAACAACTGGGGAAAACTTAAGTTCATACAAAAATGTTTGTCTGGGACTAAGAGTGAAAGTGTTTTGTCCATGAAGTGACTGATTCGCCAGCACCACATTCAGCTTGAGAATTTTATCTGAGGGATTACTGATGGGAATATGAATTCCAATGGTATCCTAGAGAAAAAAAAAAAAAAGAAAAAAAATTATGAGCCATTATACATAAAAGATCTTTCTCAAAGAAGTGTAAGATGCTTACTCATGAATTACACTTATGTGAACAGATGCTGCATCTTTCTTTGATGTGTGAACTAACACAAAAAAAGAGAAGCTGCGTTAAAAGATATTTCAACCACTCTTCAAATTGTAAAGTAGGTAATTCCATAAACAAGGAAACATTCAAGTCTTCCTGGCTAGTCTGTAACCTAATAAGCTACTTCACTTTTCAAGATATGGCTGAGGCTTGACAAAAAACACCTTACAGACAGATCTGCTGTAGTCCCAGACAGGTAAACCATCCAAGCCATCTCCTAATGGCCAGCCACAGACTGCTGAAAAATTCCGGTTTGCAAGCTGTCAAACGATTCAGGATGAATTCTGCAGGATCTGTTCCTCTTAATTTTTAAGTTACATCATAATACTTGATATTGAAACAACACCACCACAACAAACATTCCTTCTCTCATGCCTTTATGCCATTTCTCTTACTACTGGTCTCCATATCTCTCCATTTAAAGTCTAGAGCACTCCAGACAAGGACAATCTTTTCTTGACCACCTAGAAAACATGGCTACTATTAAAGACATACATTAAATTCCAGTTACTATAGTAAAAGGGAGCCCTATGGCTGAATTAGATAAATATGCATACTTTACACATGGAACACCTTTAAGATGAGCAGGAGCTGGGCAGAAGTAGCTCGCTCTGAACAGCTCCTACAGTGTATTCTTGAGCAGCCTTAAAAATACAGTTATATTTCAGCAGGGTTACAGTGACCCCCTTCTTTAAGGTTAAAAATAGCATAAATCCATCCTATGTACCCTATATGTCTAAATATCAATATGCTTTATGAAATGAAATACTTTAAATGGACACAAAGGAATTTATTAATGAAGGAATTCCACTGTCACAATTCAGGATGTGTACCTGCAGTTTAAAATACATATGTTCTATTCATATATGTTCATCTATATAAAATATGCAAAATCTAAAAATAGATATAAGTGTTTATTTCTCTGCATCTATATTTATCTCCATTCTTATTTTGGTCTCTTTCCTTTGCTCTAACCAAACCATTCATTTCAAAATGGGAGGTGTTTCTAATATATGGTGATTTGGTTCTCACCATTAAATTTTCCCCTATACTTCTTTGTAAAAATTCAAATTGCAATATGAAAGGAGAAAAAGATAAAATATCTATTAAAATAAACAGTACACTAAAAACTGAGCATGAAGTACTTTAAAAAAACCTCACACAGCTGCCTCACACTTCTTTGATCCTGCCTATGATTTTGTAAATTTCTATATATTTTCATTTATAGAAGATAGCTATTGGAACATACATAAAACACATGTAGTGTTCTATAGATGGCAAGATGACGTCAAGAATTTAAATCATTCAAGTGCTTTGCACCAATAAGATGGTATTTAAATTTGCCGTGAACTATTTTAAAGCTCAGATTAATAGTTTTTACCAGTGTAAACAAATTTCTAAATCTATCTACCATTTAATTGCTAAAGGCTTTGTAACAATTTTATAGTAAAACATCTACATGCTGTGTTGAAGAAATACTTTTACAGTAAAAAGGAAATATTAGACAGCTTGTCTAGGAAAAAAGCAGCAACTATCAAAGAAACCTTTGTAAACTTGTGCACAGAGGAGATTTTGTATTGCTGACGTTAGCTTAATATTTTTCTCCTGCTTAGGAGAAATAAAATGCCTCGGATTATGTATTTCCCTGGAATTTCCCAGGAAAATTCCCAGGAATTGCTATAGTTTTCAAAGATCTGATACTTCATGGATGGCAGTAAGAGCAGAAACATATTTATCAACACAAGGTATACACATTGTATATTTCTAGGCCTTAATGGATTGTTAGCACAGTACTAGGAAAAATAACAAAATGCCCATGCGACTGTTCAGAGCATTGTTTTTCCTGGAGGAACCATTTTATCATAAAGAATGCAAAAGAGTAGCACCATAGTCAAATTCCAAACAAATTTATAGTCATCAATTTAGATCCACATTTCAGCATTGTGTTTTTTATAAACTTTCTGACAAAGGAAAAATATAAAAGCTGAAAAAAAAAGAGAATTCATTTCATTCCTCAAACTTATGTAAAGACTGCCAGTACCCAAGAAAGAGCCATTCTGGTGCAGTATGTCATGGTTTTATTCCTTTAGAATTGGCTGTGATCCATTTCTTGTCCAATGCAGATCATTTAAAATAATCTAACATAAGGTAAAATTAAATTAAATTAAATTAAAATATAATATTTATTCCCTGTGGAACTAGAAAAAGCAATTGACTGCTTACACTTTATCCTACATTGATAGCTTGAACCTGTGCATAAGTGTAATAATCTGCTATCAAGATTTTTCTTCAGAAGATTCTCACCATCATCAATTGATCTTTTGTGATATTATACCTGTTTGTTGAAATATTTTCCTGACATTATTTATAACAAAGATTTTCTCATCATCCCATTCTCTGCTTCCTTCTTTCAGCAACTGGACCTAAAGGATTTAAGCCCTTATGTAATTTTACATTTTTTTAATGTATACACTGATCTACTCTAATCATCATCGGTATCAATAAAAGAACTATTTGGCTAAAGTTTGTAAGGGACTACCTACACTTTTAATGCTTTAGAACAATTTTTTCATATAAAATCCAGTTTCATTAAGGAGATAACATTCACCCTGCATTTGTTTGCTGCTTTTCCAGTACATGGGCTTTAAAGAAAAAATGTTTGTACTTGCACTCAAGTTTGCCAGATTATTGCTGTAGAAGCAAATTTTCAAGTCAGGTATTTTGATAGGCCTGGTGGGATAATGCAGCAGAAATCGTTCCTTTTGTAGGTCCTTGTCCAAATCATTGTTCTTCTAGAAAGAAAAGTAACAAGTCCCTTCTTTATCTGTGCTGCATCTGATGACAAGCAGGTATGTTGCTTACTCAAAGATTGAACTTGCAATGGTGGCAATATTCTTGAAAAAGTAGATCTTGGCCTTCTGTCTTCCATAGGCTCAAAATGATTGAAGCTTTCAATGTCGTCATTGGTGTTCCTATATATTAGTAGTAGGAATTAAGCTACAGTATCCTATTGTATCCTTATTTTAAATTTCCATTTCTTGGAACAAAAGAGGCTCAAGTGAGTTGATCACCAGACTTGATGACAGAGTTTCAGAGCCACGCTGAATATAGTTCAGCCTAATATGGTCAAATTAGTTTTAGAAATCAGAGCTGGCTCTTGAACTGCTTGATGCAACGTGTTTCCAATGAGCACCTCACCTTACCACTTCTCACCACAAACACTTGTAATCCAGACGCACATGTCCACACTCAGCTGAGCCTTTCTTGCATTGATCATTCAGGCACATGGAAGTCCTAACTTGCTATGTCTTGAGAGGCTGAGTCCTTCCAGCTTCCTAGTAACTCAAAAGTTAATGGAGCAGACCTCTGTGCAGTGAACCACCTCCCTCAACATATAAATTTGTGGGGGTTTTTTTATTAACCCTTTCTGTGACGTAAACTAATTGCCAAGATAACCCTCTCCTTCCCATGTTGGGTTATGAGGACAGAGAATCACAGCATTATTTACCAAAAAAGTGCACTATTTTACCTGGACTTCTAATGTATACAGAACTACAAAGTTCAGTTCCTGAGCTACCTGTATCTACCCATATAATGTTACAACAATCAACTGCAATTATTTTCTGCTGCTATTGATTATTTGTTTTCAACTGCTGTATGAAGTTACAATATAGTTGTAAATTCGTAATTCCAATAGATTAGAATAGACTTTGGAAGGCTTGGTGAGTGCTGATGATGTCTGTGTATTCACAATGAAGTCAGCAACTGAAACAATAGAATTACTTCCAGAAACTTATTCTAATAACATTTAGTTTACCCTACTAGACACTGAAACTGGTATTTGCACCATGGGCATAGAGCCCTGGATTGAAAATCTGATGTGGTGAGGTTAGAAAGCTCCCTCTGGCATGAAACTACAAACATGATGAAAGCTATGCCAGTGAAATGCTGAGGTATCATCTTGCTCAGAACTGACATAGTTTAGTGTGTGGTGTCCCTGCTCATGGCAGGAAGGTTGGAACTAGATGATCTTAAGGTCCTTTCCAACCCTAACCATTCTATGATTCTATGATCAGGAAAAGGCAGTGACAAGAAGTGCCCATATTCCAGTGCCTCCAAGACTTTCAGAAATACTTGCAAAAATAAAGTCACAACCACCTATCAGAACCTAATGGTACTACAGTAGAATAGCAGTAATGGCTAATTATTACAATACTTTGAAATATTACTCCATCAACTTTAATGACTTCTGCTTCATACATGGAAGCAAATATTCTACAATGTGCCTCTATTCCCAGCTCATGCTTCTATGAGCTAACTGAAAGTACCTCTTTACTTTTTAAAACTAGTAACCGACTCTGATAATATTCCATTTTATTGAATTATTATGACCATACTAATGACATAATTTATATCCCAGCTACACCACTTACCATCAAGTTACTCAATCAGCACAGGTAATATGCTAATTAATTTGACTTAGATCTTGCACCTACTCTAACTCCCTTATTCTTTAGGTCTAAAAAGAGAATTTTGAGGAAGAATGTCTCTTTACATTTTAAAAGATTGATACCACTCATACAAAACACATAGAGGAAGAAATAATTCTAGAACAAAACTGAAATTGTCAGGATTCTTACTGAAAATAACTTTTTCTCCTGAATTTTCCAAGAGTAGAAAATTACAAATGAGTTCATATTGACAAGTAAAATGCCTCAGATAAAAACTTTCTTCCCCCAAATCCTAGGCACTTGGAGATTTTAATTCCAACTTTCATTTTTGGCATGTTTCTGCATTCTCAGGAGCCAGAGAGTATCAACATTATAATGTAATTAAATTCCTTAAATGCTCATAGATTTTCTGA